ATGGTGGGAAAAACCCCTCTGTTACTAGCTCTGCTCTTACCCTTCCCATAATTTCCTTTTGTAGGCTCACGCCTTTGTAAACAGTCCCTAATTTGAGCAAGCCCTTTGAGTGTCCCACTGTCCTGAAGATAACAGTGCTAAAGTCCTTGAATGATATGAGGATGGCATCTTCTGGCTGGTGCTCAGAAAGTGGTTCATCTTTCATTCAGGGACAGTCAACTAGTCTGCATGCTCAACAATTGTCTATCATAAAACATTCCTTCTTTTCCCTGCAATTGACTTAGTATATTTCTTTGCTGGGAAACTATAGTTCATATTATGGACTTTCAACAGCTTTTGCTTGCCCCTACTCAGGTAAATGTGATCCTTTTCTACTCATTCAGTTTGATGAATTTCTCAGTGTTCTAAAGTCGCAACTCATCTTGGTGAGTTTGGTGGCCCTCACAAATATGCAGGTTCAGGGGCCGCAGGAATGCTGTTCCTGACATTCATTTGTTCTTCCTGGAAATGCCCTGCTTTGCCTTCTTCTGGATAGCTCCTACTCCCCATCCAGATCTTAGAAACATGCATTATCTGCCTACCCAAAATACCTTCCACTGTACAGGAGGCTCGGTTAGGTGTCCCTCCAGTGGGCTCCCAGAACACTATACATACCCTGTCATGACCCTCATATTATAATTGCTGTTGTGTCTTCTCCATGATTAACCTGTGAAGGAGACTGAAATGATACTATTATGGGTAGAATTCTGTCCAAAAAATACATGGAAGTACTAACCCTTGACACCTGTGAGCATGACTTTTGTTGGCGATAGGTTCCTTGCAAATGTAATCAACTTGAGATAAGATCATACTCCATTAGGGTGGATCCTAATCCAATATGACTGATATCCTTATAAGAAGAGAAGAAACAGACGCATGAGAGAAGAAGGCTACATGGAAGCAGGATGACAATCTGGGGACGCATCACTGAAGCGCTGCTGCTAAGGCCTAGGAATGCCCAAAGGTTAGGCAAGCCAGCAGAAGCCAGAAGAGGCAAGGGAGGATTCCCCCCTATAGGGTTCAGAGGTAGTGTGGCCCTGCAGCACCTTGATTTGGGACAGAATTCCAGCCTCCCAAACTGTGAGGCATACACTTCTGGGTATTTTTAAGCCACTCAATTGGTTGTAGCAGCCTGGAGAAACTGATGCAGATACTATTTTGTATCTGTTGCAGTCTTCACAGTGCCTGAAATGTGCAAACTTATATTGAGCTGAACGGAATTATAAATCTTATACAGAGATGTTAGAAGTAGGCCAACTGTGCATTCCTGCAGAAACTTAGCTTCTTTTATTATTTTTTAAGATTTTATTTATTTATTTGACAGAGAGATAGAGAGCACAAGTAGGCAGAGCTGCAGGCAGAGGGAGAAGGAGAAGCAGGCTCCCCACTGAGCAGGGAGCCCAATGAGGGGCTCGATCCCAGGACCCCAGGATCATGACCTGAGCCGAAGGCAGATGCTTAACCGACTGAGCCACCCAGGTGCCCCAGAAACTTTTTATCTTCTTCATCCATAATTTCACTCAACACTCCACAGTGGACCTTCCCTCTCTCCTACCTGCTAGTGCCCTGGTGAACCGACTTAGAACACAGGCACACTGTCAAAATGTGTAGAGGTTCAGATTCAGTCCACTTTATAAATAAGCCTAATCACCCCCCTTAGGTTACTCCCATAAATTGGCATACTGTCCCCATGCAGAGATCATGCTGCCTTCCAGTGAATGGGGCCATTGCTTTGTGAGTGTTTGGGAAGCTCATCTCCCCAAGATCACCCTCTGCTAGGTGAGATGCACAGACATAAATCTCCTGGGAGGGGTAAGGTGCCATCTGCAGTATAGGAATGGGAAGCTAATGTCCACCCAGGGCACATTGTGAAGAAAGATGCAGTTGTGATTAGAATTTACTGTTTTTCAATCTAAAACCTGCCCTTCACCCTTACGACATCTATTTGCAAGTATCTGTAGATTTCTTAGGAGAAACATCCCCTGTTCTGTCAAACCTCAAATGATCTCTCAGGGAATTCTAAATGAGGAAGGCCTGTGAGACCACCTTGCCCCACATCCTTGTTTTAGGATCCCATATCTTATTTATGTGCAACTAGGCCAGGGACACTCAGCTGACTGGTGCAAGGTGCAGACAGAGAACCCAGGCCCCCTGCCTTCCGGTGCCATTTACACTCTCTGTGTGATTACCCCAATAATGCAGCTGAAGAGAGCAGAGAAGAGCAACTTTGTGTTTTCAGAAAAGGGGGTAAACACAGAACGAGTCTCCCTCCCACCCCACCCCACACTGTTCTGTTCCCTCTGTTCTGTTTGTCCATTCTCTCTCTCCCTCCTCCTTCCCTCTCTTCCCCAGGCCACTTCATTACACTTTCACTGGTGTCAAAAGTCATTCATAGTTAAGAACATTTAACAATTATAAATAGAAAAACATGTGTTTGATTATCATTATATTGATGTATTAAAATGTGTGTCAGTTAGATGAGAATTATAGAATTTATCCTGTACTGAGGTTTGCTTTTATTTTTACAGTTCTTTTAGAAAAACAAAAACAAAAAGAAGGAAACCTATGTTTTGCAATAGCACATAACCAAAACAGCATATGTAAAAGAAATGCCCAGTCACACATAATCAAACCTATGAACTCCAGGACAACTCCGAGGTCCCGATCCCTTCAGTATTACATCAGCAAAATAGCAACCTTTAAATACAAGTAAGCATTCCTCTTTAGCCATTCCTGGACAAAATACCATACATTAGCCCCAAGAGAAGTCTTTCCAAAGAGGCAGGGAACATCATGTAAATGAGACCTATGAATCAATTATACCCTCTGTGTCACTGTGCTTACATAATTTTGAAGAGTTTAATAATTTTAAGCCATATTTAATGTATATATTTTAATCTCAAAGGATATTTTAATGATATAAGGGCAAGTCTATGCTTATCTATTAAATTCATGATTTTAAAATATATATTTAAAAATATGTACATAGAAGAAACACACATATGCATTCACAGAAAAAAGAAATCCCAAGGAAATCCTAACAATAAAATAACAATGGCAATCTGTGGATTGTGGTTTAAAGGTGACTAACAATTTCTTCAGACCTTGCTTTTGTCGTTAAATTTTCTATAATTAATATTGACTTATTTTATAACAAAAATAAAATCAGTTTAAAGCAAAACATAAGCAATACAAAGTATCCAGTTAATGCTTGAGTGATATAAATTATTACTGCACCAGAAGGTTTTGTTTGCTTCCTGAGTCTTGACTATTAGTCCCAGTATTTATTACCTCAAGCAAGTCATGAAATTCTCATATTCTCTTTCCTTCTATGTAAGATAGAGATAAAAATATCTATCTCAGGTTTTTATTGTGAGGAGTGTAAGAAATGGTATTTGTAAACTCTCAGTTCAGCTCCCAAAGTGGGTAGGAGACAAGCAATCACACCTGATCTCTCATCAGCAGGCATTGGTCCCCTTGCCCTTATTCTGCAGCCAAATCACTTCCTCTGTTTTTTGGTAAAGGGTAAACCAGGGACAGTTTGCATCGGAATCACTTAGGGGACTCAGTAAAACGGCATTTACTGAAATCAATTTCTTAAGCTAGAAAGTCTGAAATTTTAACAAGAATCACTGGAGCTCCATGTGTTAATCACATTTTGAAAATAAGATCCACGGAGAAAACTAGTTCTTCACCTATAGGTTAACGCTATACGTTACCATAACGTAGAAAAGAAAACAGTGTCACAATTTCTAATTGTGTTATAGGGAAGTTGAGAAGCAGCCAGCATATATGCAGTTTGGAGAGATGAAGTTTTAAGGAAATGCAGTGAAATGCATCTAATTCTGTGTAACTAACATCTTCTGCAGAAGAAGTGTGGTTGTTTGTATCCGGTTGAACAAATGGCTAAGTGCCCATAATCACCAGTTTTGCAATGGTTTGCTTGCATTTCTACTTCTGATAGTACATGGCATTTTTCCTGATATTACTGCCTCACAAATGAGAGTGGCTGTGTCTTATTTTTCTGCATATCCTCAGTGCCCAGGCCAGCCTGTGGCTACAGAAAGAGCTCGGTGAACGCGCTTGCCTTGTTGCAGGGAAGCCTGAAACCTGAGTACTCAATGAGCCCTAATACCCTCCTACTTTTCTGCTTTATTACAAGATTCTGTTGTCATTTCCAAAGGCCAGAGCTTGAAACAAACACACACAAATGTGTATGTGTCAATTAATGACACTCACAATGGAGAGGGTACTTGCATTGCTGTATTTTTAAGGAACTATTACATCAGGTTTTGGCTTTGAGGAATTATTTTTCAGAATAACTTAGTGATCGTATATTGTTTTTAAATCTGTGCAATAATTAATTCTTACTATGACTTTCTGCACTTAGAAAGGAGTGACCAGGAAAATGCAAATAGCTCATTTTTCTTATTAAGCATCTATTGGATAAGTAGCCTGGCCAATTCCTCCAATACTCATGATTGTGTCTCATCTTCAACTCTGGGAGGAAGGAACTACTTTTCCCATTTCACTGATGAACAACTGAAGCTCAGAAAGCATATGGGATTCACACCTTCCCCGGAGCCAGACATGAATCACACTTTCCCACTTCCTGAGTCAGGGTTCCCTATTGATTTTGAGTTTTGTTTTTTGTTTGTTTAGTTGTTTTTCTTTTCTTTCTGCTTTTGAGTTTTAAGAGAGAAAATGTCCTGGCCAAGCTCTAAAGAAAATGCTTCAGAGTTAATTCTTGGTTCAGCAGAATGTGATCAAGACCATTAAGTCTTCCTCTCTAATGAAGATAACCCAGCTGCCAATTTCTATTATTTACTTAAATAACATCCCCTCTACACAGAAGTTGGTTCTTTAAATTTTTATTTACACATATCCCCTTCCAGCGGTCTTCTTTTGCTGTGTACCATCACATAGCTAGGTTAAGAGTGAGTAGGGATTCTGATCCTTACCTGTGATGTTGCAATACACTTGGAGGGGTCCCAGTGGCCCGCTGCCATCAGAGTCAATGTAGAAGAAACCAGCTGTGTTCCCTTGGTGCCTGTACACCTCGCAGGATTGCTCGTAGAGGGCTAGAAAGACACAAAGACAGCAGAGATGAAGGTTTGCTTGGTTTTACATGTCACTTTAGAGAGATCAGTAACTCCTACTAATATTACTTTCATTGTTGATTCCTTCCCCTTCTAGAGCCTTGATTTCCCACTTCCCCCACCCAGGTCTTCGCAATCCAGTGTCCCAATACTTGATAGAGTTGCACCCCCATTCATCCTGGCATCCATTCTTCTGAACCACTGAGTTTACTTCCCCCCAAAAATCTCCCCTTCCCTCAATTGTGGCCCTTCTCTGTGCTGATGTATGAGCCCCTATTCTGTGCCCACACAGTGTACTGAGCTAGGATCATCATATACTGTTCTGTCCCAACAGTGGTCACAGAAGCTGTAAGAGCAGCAGCCCTGTGCTGTGTGATGCTGTGTTCCAGCACCTGGCACAATGCCACATTCAGAGTAGTTCAAAAATGTTTGATTAATGAATGAAAAACTGAATGAATATATATGGTCATGAATTTTTTATTAATAAAATAAAATGGCATTATCTTATTTCTGTACATCCAGAGCTCAGTACGGTACCTAAAACAGAGCAGACGTCCAATCCAGTTGAGTCCATTTTGACTTAACAACATTCATTGAATTCCTAACATGTGTCAGTAGCGTGTTTGCAACCTGACAACAGACCATGAATGAGGCAATCAGTATGTGCCATAGAAAGCTCACAGCCTGGTTGTAGCCACAAATTTGGTTACGTGCACAGAGAGAGGGGCAGACACGGGTGCCTTGAAATAGGGTACTTTGACCAATATGCAGATATGAGAAATTTATAAGTCTCATTACAGTAACATGAATGAATTCAGTGGCGTGTAAAGGAGGCATCTGCTGTCTCATGCATGAGAATGTAGAATGTCATCTGATGTTTTAGACAAAATGCTATAGCTCAGAGGAGCAGGTACCTATCCTATTACGTCATCCTCCCAGGCTTAAAACACTTCAGTGGCTCTCAACAGCTTTAAAGATATAGCACCAGCTCCTCACCTTAGCCAACATGCCCCTGTGACTAATGCCTCATCCCAGAAATATGAAGCTGCGCTTTGTCATGATCAAGTGTGAGGGGTGCCTCAGATAATTCATTACCAATAAAGTTCTAAAGCTTGAGAGGGTTTGACTTTTTATAAATTAGAGTGAATCCAAGGTTATCCTTGTACTCCTATAATTCTCTCTTGCAGTCACGCACACTTTCGGAACCAGAGGTAAATGGGGGAGTCATAGTTTGCATCATATATACAGAGCATAACATATAGCTTATTTCTGTTTGCTCAAACCTAACACACCTGGGTGTGTGCCATACATATGAAAGTCAGCTCTTATGTGTATTATCCCTCCTACCACCCTACACTCCCAAGATGGCAACAGTGTGAAAGGAGGCGTTGCTTTCACATGCAGGGTAAATACCACACAGGCAACAAATGTGAGAGTTGCATAGTGGTTAAGAACATGAGCCCTGGAATCAAACTGGGTGGTTTTCTATCACAAGGCTACTGCTTACACTTACTTATAGGAACTGGGAGAAGCCACTTCTCCTGTTGTAGGCAACCCCTAAGATATCTTTTTATTTATTTATTTATTTATTTATTTATTTATTTATTTATTTATTTATTTGACAGAGAGAGAGAGACAGCGAGAGCAGGAACACAAGCAGGGGGAGTGGGAGAGGGAGAAGCAGGCTTCCCGCTGAGCAGGGAGCCCGATGTGGGACTCGATCCCAGGACCCTGGGATCATGACCTGAGCCAAAGGCAGACGCTTAATGACTGAGCCACCCAGGCGCCCCAACCCCTAAGATATCTTATCCACATCCTTGCATTCAAATTTTGTTCCTGAATTAATGCGCTCCTTTTGAGTGCAGGCTGGACTGATGGATATGCCTGTAACAGATTATGATAGAGGTGATAGATAGCATTTCCAAGACTAGATTTTAAAAAGGTCGTGGCCTCCATCTTGGGTGCTCCTGGATCACTCGCTGTCAAAGAAGCCAACTGCTCTGTCCAGAGGCTGCCCTGGAAGAGGTCCACATGAGTGGGCTTGGAGGCTTCTGGGCATGCCATGTGAGTGAGCCCTGAAGCAGACTGCCACAGTCAAACACCAAAATGACTGTAGTTCTGGTTGACATCTTAATTGCAGCTCCATGGGAGATTGAGACAGAACCACCCATCTAAGTTGTTCAAGGACCCAGGGAAACTATGAGGTAATAATATCTGTTGTTTCCAGATGCCAAGTTTTGCTATAAGTCATTAGGCAGCAATAGATAGGTAATAAACTCTGAAAGAATTAATATTTTCATGGGGCTATAAGAAACAGCTTACCTCATACAACTAGTAAGGATTCAAAAATATACTCACAAGATAATCACAAGGATCCTTATGAAAAACCAACAGGTCCCACCACCCTTCTGCAAAGAAGATGACTTTTAGTTCTTAGTTCATTCTTTTGGTATTGACTATTTGTATTTCTGAATAGCATGTCCAAATTGCAATTTCTTGGTTTATTTTCATTTATACAGTTTTTTATTCACTTACTAACATAAAGATAAGAATTTGGCTTTTTCTTTACCCCCCACATCCAAAGAATTTTCTATCCCCCATACCTCCAATATAGTTGTATTGTAATTTTAGTTAGATCAATGGATACCGTTTACAGTGATGTGACAACATACATGCCACTCACAAATAGCAAATCTTACATTGTGATTAATTTTCCTTTTCTCAAACAAATGTAGTTTTTCTCGAAATTAGTAACTGCCTTATTCTCCTGTTTGCCTAGTTGTCTATATATTGGTAACAAATAATTCACTAACAAATCTCTAAAATGCCTCCCAAAATAGTCATGTAACAACTAATATAAATGGATGTCTAAGGGGAGAGAGAGAGAAAGAATGGGGGAGAGGGTACAGAGATGAACGCTAGAACTTTCTGGATATTTATATTTTAAATTTTGGGAAAAAAAGTATTTTAAATAATTTTAAAAATCAAATATAATAAAAAAGAGCAATTCCTAAACATTGAAAGGAAATTAAAACAAATTAACTAAAAATTATTTCAAATGATACTGACATTCAGTAGTTTCTTTTTAACTCTTTATTATAGAATATTTGAAATTTATGTAAAGAATGCAGAGTAATAAAATGAACCTGATTTTATCATATTATTATGTTTGGCTAATCTTGCTTCATCTATATTCCCAGTGTATCAGTTATCCATTGCCAAATAACAAACTACTCCAAAACTGACTTAAAACAACAATCGTTCCAATATTCTACAGGTCTTGGCTAATCTGGGCAGTTTCTGGTAAGGCTCAGAATGTCTTGTGATGCTTGCGCATTCATCTGCACTTAGCTGCTAGGTCAGCGGGGCTTGTTGGGGTTCATTGGTTCTCCCTGTGTGGCCTCTCATACTCTCACAAGCAAATTCCCATTGGTAAAGTCTCCAAGATCAACAAGATGGTGAGCAATTGTCAGGCCTCTGATTGCATGTTTGCTGATGCAACTTTGACCAAAGCAAATCACTTAGTAAACCAAAATCCATATAGAGCATTGCAAGGGCCTAAAAGGAAATGGAGTGATAGAGGTGGACTGTATCATGTTTGACTTCATGGAACAGGATCACATAGCCATGTAATGGGAGTATAAAAAAAGGCCTTTTATTTTACTAAGGCGTTAATATTGGGGACTGATTACTACCTTAGTTAGCCTACCATTGCTAATATACTTTCTCCCAAAATTTTGGTTCAGTTACAGGGAGATACCTAAGGGCAAAGCCTGGTAACGAGCGTCCCCACTTATAAATACTACAAATAAACTCATAAAACATAAGGAATTTGCCCAAAAACATACCAGTTGTTAAGTTGCTGATCTAATTCTATCATTCTTTCTTGATTTATTAGTAGGAATATTTTATAAAAATGAAACATTCTTGATCAATTATTATTTTACCATAAACTACAAGATTGTATGAAAAAAGCAAGATGCTTCTTCTTTAATTTATCAGTTTCAAAATACTGAAATTGTCCCCTAGTATCCTCCCAAGCGAAAAATGAAAATACTTTTAGTTTCATTATAAACTCATAAATTTACATATATTGAAAACAGTAATTTGATTAGTAGGAAATAGTACGATATATCAGAAAAAAATAACAAAAGTCTTAAAATATATTAAATAGTTTTCTTGTTAAATAATGTTGGTATTGGGGCGCCTGGGTGGCTCAGTTGGTTAAGCAACTGCCTTCGGCTCAGGTCATGATCCTGGAGTCCCTGGATCGAGTCCCACATCGGGCTCCCTGCTCGGCAGGGAGTCTGCTTCTCCCTCTGACCCTCTTCCCTCTCGTGCTCTCTGTCTCTCATTCTCTCTCAAATAAATAAATAAATAAAATCTTAAAAAAAAAAAGTTGGTATTGATTTATTAAACTATTATATGTATCAAGAACAATTAATAGCTAATTATGTTGTTAATGACAACAGAAGCTAAAATTTTACCATAAAATAAAAATATAAAATGTAAAAAAATATATAATTCTGAAATTTTAATTTGAGTTGGTGGTATCAATATGAACTCATTATTTAATTGTTTTAATGATGTATTTTCATATTTGGACTACTGAAAGTACTAGAAGCACCCTAATGCACAGATTGTGGTCTCTAAACACATTTTCCCACTAAAATGAAGAAGGGTTTTACTGAGTTTATGTTTGGAATAAAATGATATTAGAAAGCTTCCTTTGCTTGAAAATAAGAAAGCTATCAAAATTAGAGTACCTCAAAAATGGCACAGGAGCTAATTTGTGGAAGAATTTGAGTACCAAAAGGACTAATGACTACATTTATATATTTGAAGATATACAATCTATTAGTTCTTTTATCTATTATCTATCTATCTATCTATCTATCTATCATCTATCTATCATCTATCTATCTATCTATCTATCTATCTATCTACCTATCATTGATCTAATCTGTGTAAGTCCATTGGTC